CATCTCAATCTCCCCTCTGGCAGGTTCAAGCCATTCCCCTTGTCCTGTCCCTCCATCCCTTGTCCAAAGCCCCTCTCCAGGTCTCCTGGAGCCCCTTTAGGCACTGGAGCTGCTCTAAGGTGTCCCCTTCAGGAGCCTTCTCTTCTCCAGCTGCCCCAGCCCAGCTCTCTCAGCCTGGCTCCAGAGCAGAGCTGCTCCAGCCTTCGCAGCAGCTCCGGGGCCTCCTCTGGCCTCGCTCCAGCAGCTTCACGTCCCTCTTGTGCTGTTGTCCCAGAGCTGGATCAGGGCTGCAGGGGGGGTCTGCCCAGAGCACAGCAGAGGGGCAGGATCCCCTCCCTGACCTGCTGCTCTCGCTCTGGAGGTGCAGCCCAGCACATGGTGGGGTTCTGGGCTCAAGTGCACACTGATACGTTATGGTGAGCAGTGGAGACTAAACTATATTGTTGTTCCAATGATAATATGATAGGAGTTAAACACAGTCATTTCATGCACATGTTAAAAAGTGAGCGCTAAAGCCTGAAATAGCAAGGGGTCTGTCTTGCTTCTCTTTTAAAAGAGTTTGTTCAGCGTTTCTGAGAAACCACATCCTTTTGAAGTATCTTGGGCTGGGAATAAGAGTTGCTTTCAAAAAAGCAGACAGTCCATCTCTAGTAAGTATTTCCTTCTTCCAAGATGGTTTCATGGACTTGTTATGACACAGGTTTTGGTAGTTAACTGACAATTTCCAGGATTCTTGGCTTGTATCATACTTGAATTTTCCGGTTGTTTTAAAGCTTTCATGTAGTCAGAAGCGCTGTGGGTTTGTGGCATGCTGGCTTTCAGATCTTCTGCATGTGTGTTTGCAGAAGGCAGTCAAGCATTGTCAAACTAGCTCCAGTTCAAGTGTTATGTTTCCATTGTCAGTGATGCCTCTTCTTTCCCCTCTTCCGCCAGGCTAAACTGTATCCTTATTTTTATAGGTAAATGCACTCAGCGGTAGGTTTTGTGACTTTATTCTCCTTCTAGCCAACTTATAAACGTGTAACTAGAGAATGTCTCATTGCTGCGCTTGCAATAAAGAAGAATTGCAATTCTTAAGCAAATAAATATGTAAGGGTTTTTTTGCAAACTTGGCTTTAGCATTGCAGATATTTTATACAATGAGACTAAAGTGTAAGGTAGCTGCCAGACAGGAAAAATCATGTTTCCTGGCTTGTACCTGGACTTACTGTTGTGCCCAGAATTGAAGGGGAAAAATGCTGAACGGTTGTACAGAACAAAGACCACTACAGGAGGGACTTCATCACTGATAGTTGCGTTTTAAATGTTCTTAATGATGTAGGGGAAAATATGGTTTTGGCTGCCTGTCATTTTTCCCTGTTTTCTGTTCTAATTGCATATCAAACAATTGTCTTGAGTATTTTAAGGCCTTTTTTGTGTATTAATTATATGCGGTAGCATCTGGTCAAACTGAATTATTTTACACTTCTTGCAACACCTTAATTTTTAGGAGCATGACAAGAATAACGGAGGGTACTTTTGTCTCCTCGTCCTGCAGGGATGTTCTTGACTAAACCAGGATTATTTTCTTTTGCTTCTAGATCTTTCAAAGAACCGATTCACTGAAATCCCTCCTGATGTCTGGCTGTTTGCACCACTGGAAACTTTAAATTTGTATCACAACTGCATCAAATCCATTCCAGAATCTATTAAAAACCTGCAAATGCTTACCTACCTTAACATTAGGTGAGTAATGCTGCTTAGTTTTGGGCTTTGTGTAACTTATCTCACTGGAGAGGTGGCATTCAACTTATTGAGGGCCTTTGTGCGCTCAGTTTCGCTCAGATAGATAAATACTTGCTGTTGTTTGCCTTGTCTTTGGTGGGGTTTTGGGCCAGCAACTGTTGCTTCCTTTGACTACATTAGGAAATCTCAGTCAGTAAGTGATGGTAGCTGAGGATAAGGAGAATTTATGCAGTTTTCTTTGGTTTTAATGTTATGCAGACAGACAGTGTTTAGGAAGTAGCCATAAGAATGTGCTGCTCTCAGAAGGGTGGATATCTCTGGCCAGAAGGCCCTCCTCATTATTTACATCCATTGCTGTTCTGAAACTTGGAAAACATATGGTTGGATCTTCTCAGAAGAACAGAAGATGAATATGAGCTCTTGAAGGAGAAGGAATCTGGATGAACCCTCCCAAAATGAGCAGAGACCCTGCCGTCTACAGTCGTCCATGTTTGTTGCATTGGCTGTATCAAGACCTAGACAGTCTGCTGAGAGCTACTGAACATGGGAGGTTTGGTTCCAGAACTGATTTTTGGAAAAAAAAAAAAAAGCCCCAAAAACTTGTGAATTGATTCTGGAAGAGAAAAATGTAAAAAAACCAAAAGCAAACTCAGACAAACAAGAAAAAAATCCCAGAATCCTGGAATCCCACGTCGGGAGGGACCTTGGGGATCATCTGGACAACTTTCCTTTGCGAAGCATGACCTTGACTAGATGGCCCAGCACCTTGTGCAGCCAGATCTTAACAGTGGGGTTAAAAACCAACTGTGTTTTGAAATCTGCAAATACCAGTACTTACTGATACTTGTGATTGAAGTGACTGAAGAATCACAGTCTGTTCTGTGAGCGTTCTAAGGAGAAGAATGATATGATAAAACTAGAATGTTTGCTGAAGGAAATTGGACCTCACTTTCTTCACAGAGCAGCAACAGTCCGGTTCTCTTTCGATGGTGCTCAATACAGCTCTCGCAGAAATAGAGCAGCAAGCAGTTCTGACTGGGTGTTATGTGGTCCAGGAGTCAACTCTTCCAGTCGTCATCTGCCACACTGTGCGTTGTCTCCAGTTTTGTGCTCATGTCTCAGGCCTGTTTTCGCAGTGCATGAATGTGTGGACTGGAGGAGTTGAAGAACAGGCTAAAATCCTGTCTTATGAGTTCAAATGTATTGTTCCAGAAGAAAACCACATGATCTCAAAATCTAATTTTGGGTTCAGATGACTGAAGAAGTGTATTGTGCAATTCATAGTGAAGCAGGCAGCTCTTTAAAAAGCAACCCCCCTGAACCAGCAAAAGCCCAGAGGAAACTGACGTGATGCAGTGAATGACTGTTCCATTGCCTCCATTTTATAATGAGTCACAAAAAGTTTACTCTATAGTTTTGCTTCTCATGCTCTCTAACCAAAAAAGCCTGTCATATCTGCCTGAAATACAGCGTACAAAGAGACTTGCCACATACCTACACCCAGGACTTGTTTGCATTGTTCACTTAGAATGAACAGAATAAATACAGAGCTCTAGCCAGGTTCCAATTACTTTCTTTTGATGCTGTTAAACTTGCAGCACTTCTTTGAAGCTGAAACATTGCAAGACATGAATTTATTTTTGTTGGCTTTGCAGCTCTCTAAGCTGTAGTCATGGAGAATAATGTAAAAAGCTTTTACATATAAAAACAGTGCTCTGAAAAATATAAACCAGTACATCTTTGGGGGGTTTCTTAATATAGTGTGAGCACAGATGTCAGCACTTGGATGGGGGGTTTTATGGCTTTTTTCTTTTCAAACTAGAACTGACTCTCCACAGTTCTACTTAAAGCAACAGCATTCACTGATTTATTTATTTACTCTTATGTCTGAAAGGAATTGCTTTCATACCACACCTGAACCAGCTGGTTTTCCAATGGCCTTTTTAAGTGCCTGAGTAGCTTATTAGAAGAATTGTCTGTGTTTCTGGTGGTGGCAGTCTGCAGTTGGTAGTTTTTCCAGTCTGGATGTAAATCAAAGTGTCAGTGAGTGTATATTTCTTGTGTGCAAAAGAGACATATGTGCATGCAGGTGGGAAATGACACATGGATTTTATTTTTATTGAAACTTACCTTTCAGGCTATTACTCAAGCAAAGTAATAAATAGATGTTGAGGGCTCTTTGTGATGGCTCGGAAGAGATGTGACCACATGGCAGGAGAAGCAGTGGCCTTGTCTCAGGTTCTGGTTTGCAGAGAATGTAACTTTATATTGGTAGAGTATTGGATCAGGTGCTCCTTCTGCAGGTTTGAGAAAGCAGCATAACAGCAGACATCAAACAGTATTCCTTTTAACACGTATCTCTGGACGTTTTAGTGGTGGATTCATTTCTAGTACATACTCAGCAAGACAAGGACCTAAAATTCACATATCTGAGAGAGGTTTTGTCTGGTAAGGAATTCATGATGGAGATTGTAGTTTAAAGTTAGATGAAACTGAACAGGGGGAGAATATCTTCTGACTAGGAGGAAAGTTGTACAATGGGTGTTTCAGGCTCCGCATCATGCGTACAGAGATTCTAACCTAGCCTTGTGTCTTCATTTTTCTTACTTTCAAGTCGAAATCTTTTATCGACGTTGCCAAAATACCTGTTTGATCTTCCCCTGAAAGTTCTGGTTGTCAGTAACAATAAACTGGTCTCCATTCCAGAAGAAATTGGAAAGTTGAGAGATCTCATGGAGTTGGTAAGTACAACTGTGAACCATTGTACTGAGTAACCTTAAATGAGAAGCAGTTTGTTCACCTTGTAATGAAAGATAAAGTAATAATCTTGTAAATATAGAACTTCAACATTTAAATTCAGTTCCTGCTTTTTCTTAGCATTGGAGCTGTAATTCCAGGTGGTTTATGCTGTAGGGTTTCAAAAATGGGGTTAAACACAAACCAGTATGTTGGGTTAACTAAATGAAAGAATCTGAAGCACAGTTTTACTGGAGTCCCTCACTTGTATGTTAAAAAGGGTGAATTTTCCTGTTTGCCTTCTTTACAGTAATCATCATTCTATTCATTTTTGGTATGTTATCAGGAGTCTTCTTTCCAGCTTCAGAGTTCATCTTTCTTCACTTTCTACTCTTACGCAAGTTATGCCATTCAGTCATTGCTGTCGTGGTCTCTGGTTTTCTGTCGTGTCCCATCCCCCTTCTGCTGTTCCTTTATGTTGGTTGGGGTGACGAGAAGGATGTGTGATGTTCACAGTTTAGGTGTCTGTACAAACTGATTTTATCCTATGGCATACTAAATTTGTGCTTTGTCCTCCATTACTGTCTCTATATTTCTTCCTATTCTGGGCTTTTCTGATCATTACTGTGTGTTAAGCTCATGTTTTGGAGAACTCTGCACAATTATTCACCAACCTGGTGCTTGCACTGTGCCTGATTTCTTATTTGCGTGTATTTCTTTGGTCATTGCTAGCAATCTGCATCCTGTTTCTGGGGTAACTCTGTATGCCTTGGAGATTTCATTTAACATGACCTAATTTACAAGTAGTATCAGACATTATCATAGAATCATAGCACCACAGAGTGAGTGGTGTTGGAAGGGACCTTAAAGCTCCTCCAGCTCCAACCCCTGCCCCGGGCAGGGACACCTTCCACTAGAGCAGGTTGCTCCAAGCCCCTGTGTCCAACCTGGCCTTGAACACTGCCAGGGATGGGGCAGCCACAGCTTCTCTGGGCACCCTGTGCCAGCACCTCAGCACCTTCTTTATGCTCCCTTCACTGTCAGAGGATTTCAAGGGACCAGTGCTAGTTTTAAAGGAAGCGAACGTTTTCGGAATGCAGTGGTGGTATTTTTGGCTTATTTTGCAGAATTGTCAAGCCTAGAATGTGTGTTTGATGACACAGATTAAGGACTGACTAGAGAGTTTCATTCCAGTACCTGTTTTATAGCTGTTTAGAACATGAGTAATATACACCTTAAAAGAAAAAGGTGACATCTAAGCCATGTGCTGGAAAGATGCTTTTAGGGAGGGAATTCCATCTTAAATTTTGACATGGACAGAGGAGCAGTTGATCCCAAGTGCCTGGACTTTGGGACATCCATCTGTGTGCAGATACTGTGGTTGCCAAAAGCAGATGAGCAGTGCCTGAGCTGAAGCTCTGGGAGCGTGTAGTGGAGGAGGCAGCTGGATTAAGGCCTGGCTTCTAGGTACTGACTCAGTTTGCCTTAAAGTCATCTCTACTGTTGTTATCTCGTCTAGGAAACTAGTCTCTGAAGCAAATTCCATTGAATGGAAAATAAAAAGAGGTTCGAAATGGTCTTACATCACTGTGACTGTTGATTCAGTCTGGACTACATAAATAAATGTTAAATTGGGCTCTGAAATAGCTGTAGTCTGTGTTCATTCGGTGCAGCTCTGTCACCATCTAGTGCTTGTCAAACAGTTGGTGGGTCTGCTGTTGCTCTTTGTCAATCTCCAGTCACACGGGTTGGCTCAAGGTGTTTTCAGGCAAAAGAATCTTCAAGGGAAGAGCAGAATGCAAACCCTCTGCCAGCTGTGGCACCGGGAGCTGGTAACTGGCATGGG